TGCTGAACAGCATATGCTTGTTCAAACAAGGCCCTTGGTACTGCAGATGGGAGAAGGGTGAAGGGGGCATAATTCACCACCTGCAAATGAGGACACGGAGCAGTCAGGCCCACACAGTCTGAGTGGGGCTGAAGAGGTGCTGCCTCTGCTTGTCTCGAGGCTGAAGCCACCCCCAGCCCTCCTCAGTGCACCCTGGGCAGAGCCATGGATGGATCTCTGAGCCCTGGTGTCTGAGGGCTTTGCTTTGTGGCCCCTCTGCAGGGCACTGTGCAGGCAGAAGCAGCTGCTCCCTCTGTCTCCACCTCAGCTGGAGAGCATTCTCTTCAGAACACCCCAGTTTCAGAAAAAACAGATGAGTTTGTCAGTCCAGGTTTTTGGCAGTCACCCCCACCCAGTCCCAGGGGTGACTTCAGACCCCCAGCTCAGGCACAGGGCCACCCTCAAAGCCCCAATATTACACCAGAGAGAAGTTCCCAATCCCCCTTGACTTCTACAGGAGGCCAGGGACACTGGCAGAGTGTTTTGCCTCCCCACCCAGGCTCCTTCTTCCTCTCACCCAACAAGGTTCCCTCAGAGCCCTGACCTGACCACAGGGTTGACATGAAGGAGCAGCCCCCTTGGTGGAGACCTCCCTCCTTGTACCCCTGCCAGTGCAGCTGCTCCTCAGGGACTCCACCCTGACAGTGTCCCTGCCTTCATTCCACAGGGATGCTTCTTCCTGAGACCCCTCACTGCATCCCCCCCACCATGAGCACTCCCATCCCAGCCAGCTGCCAGAGGCTCTCCAGAGGAAATCCCACACTTCAACCACCCCCCATCCCCTCATCCCAGGTATGGGAGGGGGCAAAGGCTGTAACTGGGAGCCCGCACCCCCCCCACCATGAGCACTCCCATCCCAGCCAGCTGCCAGAGGCTCTCCAGAGGAAATCCCACACTTCAACCACCCCCCATCCCCTCATCCCAGGTATGGGAGGGGGCAAAGGCTGTAACTGGGAGCCCACCAAACCCAGAGCCCCCCCTCTGAGACAGTTCAGAGAGTGATCCTGGTGGTGAGAGGCTGGGAGGGAGATGGAACTCCCACACATCACGGGGGTCCCAGCAGCTTCCCAAAGGCTTCCAGAGCTATCCCTCTCCTTGGGGAAGGGAAGGGGATGGGGGG